CCCGGCTCAGCACATTTAGTTGAATGGGCAGAGAGTGAGGCTGAGTCATTGCCTTCTGGAGGGAAGGGATCTTGGAGGAGTCTTGTTACTGAAGTTGTGGTCACTGTCAGGGCTCCTTTACTGGGGAATAGGGCCTGGGGTGCAGGGCAACCCTACGCTTTCATCGCTCGTGCCCCAACTCCCAGCACCAATGAATTCGAGGGCTAGGTACAGAGAGACCTCTGAGAGTGGAGTCCACGGGAATTAGAGTTTCATATTTCTCCACATCTGGGGTACAAATAGCTTCCATAGCTTTCTTCCTTAATCCCCACCTCCCATCCAGTGGCCCCACCGTGGGGACACACTAGGCATGCCTAAAGAGAACGGGGGGGGGGCGGGGGGGCTGGAGAGATGGCTCAGTGGTTAAGAGAACTGACTGTTTTTCTAGAGGACCCAGGTTTAATTCCCAGTACCCATGTGGCAGCTCACAACTGTCTATAATTTCAGTTCCAGGGGACCTGACACCCATGGCAAAACACAAATGCACATAAAATAAATAAAATTCTAAAGAGGACCGGGACACAGGCATAGTCTTCCTTAGCAGGAAGGAAGGCCTGGCGGAGGGACCAGCCAGACATGTGTATCATAGGCTGCTGCCTCCATTTCTCCCATGTTTCCTAAATAACAAGATAGCGGTAACTGATCTGATCATACAGCAGATGCTAAAGTGGAAGCCTGGTGCCCTGACTCCTCCCTCTAGAACTCTTCCCTTTGAAAACTTTGTCAGGGTACCTCCCTTCAGCATAGTCCAGTCTCATAGGCCAATGCCCTAGGGCCCTGGCAACCTCTCCCCAGGGCGTCATTCGGCTCCGAGTCTCACCAGACCCCTCCCACTTTAGGTCCTTTCCCAGAGCCCCGCCCTTCTCCGAGCGTCACAGGGTCCGTCCCTCCCCCAGAGTTCGGCCCCTTTTCAAACCTCACCCACCATCTCCTCGGGCCCCATGCTAAGCCTTGGTTCATAGGCGCTTCTCCCTTAGCCCCGCCTCCAGATCTTTGCCCGTCCCACTTCTGAGTCCGCCCCCAAGTCTCAGTGTCCCCACCCAGCCCACCCCAAGTCTCCTCACCGATGGTCTTGATGACTGCCTCCTGGAACATGCGCTCCTCATGCTCCTTGATGATCTTGGTGCCCAGGCTGACAGCACCGTCGTAGCTCCCGGTGAGCGCATAGTCGATGCTGAGCCGCAGCTGCCGCAGCAGGGTGTTGAACATCTCCAGCACCGTGGGCCCTGGGCGCCAAGAGGGAGGGACCCGCATGTCAAGACAGGCATCCCTCCTGCTCTCCCTAATATCTAAAGCCCGCTCGGTCAGTCGGTCCTAAATCCAACGCCTGCCCCTCTCTCCTGCCCCAGGCCGTTTGCTCTGGACTCCCTTACCGACAGAGCCGGTGGCGGCGATAACCGCAGCTTCCGATAGGACCTCCACGATGCCTGCGCGCACAGTCGCCGCGCTGCGGCTGTTGGCGTCTAGGTGGCTCAGGAGCTGCTGGATAACCAGGTGGGAGTGCTGCGGCTGTGGGGGAGGAAGACGTGATGGTCCCCCAAACAACCACCCCAAAGGCCCGGCAGCCCTCTGCGGGGACCCTGAGGCGGAGAGTGGACCAAAATGACATCCCACAGCCAGTGGACGCTGCAGGTGGCCAGACCGCTCACTCTTACAGTACTCCCCAACCCCCATCCCGGCCCACAAACGCGGAGACAAATCCCAGGAAATCTGCGTTTGCACATTTTTTCCTGGTTCCTTTTACTTCAAAGAGGACCAGAAACCCATTTCAAAATATTGTCTTTCATTTCTCCCTGTCCCCAGGTCTTACTGGCAAGGACCATGAGAAGCCACATGGTTCAGCTCCGTGCTGCACAGTGTGGCTGGGGGCCCAGTGCCAATTCAAGATCTGTCTGATAGATAAAACTGCTGCCGAGATGAGGGCGAGCCAGAAGGAAGGCAAGGCTGTAGAAGTCGGGAACGCTCAGAGAATCAGGGGGTGCAAGCTGCTTATCTTTTTGCGAGATGTAATTTTTTTCTAGGAATTCGTTTTCATTGTATTTCATAAAAAAATGTTTGCCTAGGACGTACTAAACATTAAACTGGCCTTCCTTCACAGTCAGGTGACACAGCAGGATCTCTGGTAGCTGGGGGGGGGGGAGTTGGGGCGGGGAGAGTCAGAGAACACGTGGCTTCCTACATTGGGTCCTGTCCCGCACCTGGGGGTGCCCCGGGGGTAGTGGGGGGCGGTGACATGGGGAGGGGAAGGGGTGCAAGCAGGAGCAGGGAAGCTACCGCACCTGGATTGAGTACATGATGATTTTGAAGCAACGAGTGGCGAACACCTTGGGTTCCCAAAGAGAATGGTTATCCAGGTGGCTGTGAGGGAGAACACAAGGTGGAGGGGGGGTTGACTAGGAAACTCAGAATGACACAAGGAGTAGAGAGCTTGGGGGGCCAGGGGCACCTCCTGAGAGGTCCTTGCAGTTCTCAGTCAAGGAAGGGCTTACAGTATAGCTTGACACAAGGAATGAAGCTGGCCCTTTCGTTCAGTTTTGGGGACCCCTCTATTGCTCACCACAAACAGCAGGTGGCCACTGTGTGCTAGCCTTGCTGTGTGACACAGGGTCTGCAGACACCAAAAAGGGGCTGACCTCACCACAGCATGACAGCTGTCCCATCTCCTTTCCTCTCACGGGGCAGAGGGGACCAGGGGCAGTTGGCAAGGAGATGCAGGGGACCTGGAACAGTCATCTGGCAGTGGAGCACTTCCTGGGTGGGACGGGACAGTCAACTCACATAAGAACAGGCTTGATGGCGTTTTTGATGTTGCCGAAGGCTGCCCGGCCCAGCAGCTCCCGCAGGCACCTCTCAGCCAGCTCTGCTGGGTTCTCCTTTTCCTTCTCCGGTGCTTGGAGGGGCGAGGGAGACCGGCTGTGGAGACAGAGCCACGTGGATAAAGGATGGGGTGCAAAGTGGGGAGCCAGGACTGTATACCTTTGGGTTTCTCTTCAGGACAAGCAGGAATTTGAGATAAGCTACAGCAGGTCATAGTCATGGCTGTCAGCAATTAAACGGGGTAAGAAAGGTGGGAGTAGAGGATTGGGGGGAGACTATAGAGTTATTTTCATGGGAACACTTCAGGGTGGGCTGGATTGTCTCTGGGGGTCTGCAGATCACGAGGGTCAATATATACCCCTAAGGGTTGGCAGGGGGGAATGGGAACTGAAGAGGAAAGTGTAGTAGACAGACGACAGACGGAAAAAAGGCAACAAACAGAAGGGAAGGGTGATTGGGTAGGGTGTGACCTAATGATATGCAAATCAGAGGGTACCTTCTCAGAACAGAATTCACCATCTAAAAGACCACAACCTCCAACTTGGTGAGCTGTTACATCAGAAACAACCACCAGGGGGCACACTTTCCTCTGCTAGTTTAACATCCCAGACCCCCAAAGGAGAGTTTTTTTTACTGAGCATCTAAGCACAAAGCCAAGGTGGGGGACAGTACAGGGAACCTTCCTCTCCATCCCATTCTACAGGGGAAAGTAAGGGTCACTGGACGGAATGAGTCTGATGTTTGGGAGCTCTGAGACTAAATTCCAGTATCTGCAGCTCTTAAGTGGCCATAGCTAATCCAGCAGTCATGTTTTAAGGTTTGCAACAGCATCGGGAAGGGAGACAGTAAGGTCCCAGGGAAAGTCTTTAGCATTTGGAACCTTGAAAGGCATTTACACCTCCCTAGCTTGCTGCTTCTGGAGGGGCACGAGGGTAATCTGTCCCTTGTCCCCTTGTGTCCTGACCAGCTTACACGTATACCCAGGCAACACAGACCCATTGCTGCTCCTGCATCCTTATTTGAGAATGGAAGGAGATCAGAGGCCGACAGAAGCCAGACCCAGATGCAAGGAGGAACCAGCCTTGTACTCATTGCAGAACAAGTCACAAAGCCAAGATTCCTGCCCTCGTAGCTGGCCCAAGCTAGCTCCAGGAGCCTGGGTGACGGTGGTGCTCGGAGAGGGGAACCCCAGCCCCACCCACCTCTCTGCCTCTTCTGCGTGCTGCAGATTGAAGAGCAGCGATGGGACGATCTTGTCCATGTGCTGTGGGTCCCAGATGTTGGCCTGGAGCTCGTCATTCACCGTCTTCCTCACGACCCCTTGCAGGCCTTTGATGCCTGACATTCGGATTCTGAAAGGAAAGAGACGGAGGCATCTCCACATCCTGAGCATCTCCACGGCCCCGAGAGGAGCATGGTTCAAGCTCTAGGGACCTAACTGCTCCGAAGGCTCCTCTATCTGCTTCTCCTCATGGGCTTTAACCTGGTTGGGAGACATTAATGAGCAACATGACTCTTGTCCTCTTGTAGCTTAGAAGCCAGTGGGGAGAGGCAGACAGAATCAGCAACGTAAGAGAGGAATGACGAAACTTCTTAAAAGGGGGGTGAAAACCACAGGAGGGGGCAGAGCAGGATATGAAGAATGGGGGGAGTGTGGGGACAGTCAGGCGGGCTTCACTGATGAGAGCAAAGAGAGCGAAGCTATGGCAGAGGGGAAGCAGCGAGCTGAGATCCGTGCAGAAGTTCTGAGGCAAGAGTGTCCTATACAGTGTGGCAGAAGGAGGATGGGTTGATGGGAGAACCCAGAAGGCGAAGTGAGGAAAAGCCAGCGTGAGGACTTGGGCTCTGTTGATGGATGTAGATGCTGCTATGCAGGTTGTTTCTGCAAGTGCACATTTCTATCCGTGAGTGGAGGGGTTGTGTGTATGCACACTTAGGTGTTTTGCTCCTGGCCCTCAAGTTCAGCTCAGGAGACCTCCGTTATCTTATATTTTGCCCTATGTTCTGGCCCAAGATTTTTCCTCCAGAACCACCTGCCGGGAGCCGCCCCATTCTGGTTAACACCTATCCATCCTGGCCACAGTAGGCCAGAACGGGAGTCAAGGAAGACAGACTGGTCAGCCAGTGCTGAAGCCCGTCAAGGCCCCCTGGTGATTCTGCTGGGTGCCCCGTAGGCCCTTCGCCTCCCTCTACTCACTTAGTCTTGATTTCCAAGTCGTCATGACTTGAGTGGCACATTTCACTAAACCGGGACACAAAGAAATCATAGCTCCGATGATAAGACGGGGTGTCCTCTTCAATGTTGGCGAACTTCACAAACTATTGGGACAGAGGAAGAGAATTTGCATGAGGGCCAGTTGCTCTGCCCCTTGGGACATTCCCAAGCACCTATTATGGAAAGAGCCACAGACCCAGACATCTGGGGACCAACTCCTGCCTGTAACAGCACACTTGGGAGACCTGAGTTCATAGGCGACTCAGCTTTCCTGTATACAAAAAGCTGGGAACTGTGACCTTTTCTGTTGAGGGGGACAGAGGAGGAAGGAGAAAGCTAATGATGGCTTCCCCTGTACACTGCGACACAAACCCCTGGGGGATGAATGCACAGGGCACAGTGAATTAGGCACGATGCCGAGACTGAAGAGAGCTGGGTCAATGCATGGGGCACCTCCTTGGCTGAATTCTGAGACAGGAGAGCAAATCCGATCATTTGACTTCAAAACTGGAGTCACATTTTACTGTTGAAATTTTGGGTGTTAAAAGCGTCCCATGTTGATAGACTCCCTCCCACCCCCTCTCTTTCTCTGTGGGACAAGATCTCACGTAGCTGATATCGGCCTTGAACTTGATCCCTACTTTTAACTCCCAGTTGTTAGGATTACAGGGGCCTGCCCTATGTCTAGCTTTAGCACTAATCTCTGGCAGCGTCCTCTGCCGCTGGATCATATTGCATTGTACGCTTCCAGTTCTAAAGAGGGAATTCATTTCAATAACATCCCCCAGAGAAGCAAGCATTGCATACAAAATAAACCGCTTGAAACGAATATAATTTATTTTGCTCGATATTATGTTAGGTTAGTAGCCCCGAACAACTCTGAAAGAGGATTAGATTAATAGCTAGAGATACAGCTCAGTTGACAGAGTGCTTCCTTAGCATGCACGAGCCCCGAGCTCCATCCCCAGAATGGGACAAACTGAGTGTGGTGGCACAGGTCTGTAACCTTGGCATGAAGGGGTGAAGGCAGTAGGGTCAGAAGTCTGCAGACATCCTCGGCTACAGAGCAAATCTGAGGCTAGCTTGAAGACCTTGTCTCAAAAAGAGTGCTTAGACTGACAATAAATTATAGAACTTCTCAAATGTTGGTTGTTTAAAAAAATACACACATACACTATCATTTCTCAAGGTATCTAATTGATTTACTTTCATAGTATTTGGTATTAATTGTTAATCTGTGTCTAGTTAACTTCTTAAAAGTTGCTAACTTAGGCTGGGCGGTGGTGGCGCATGCCTTTAATCCTAGCACTTGGGAGGCAGGCAGAGGCAGGCAGATCTCTGTGAGTTCGAGGCCAGCCTGGTCTACAAGAGCTAATTCCAGGACAGGCTCCAAAGCTACAGAGAAATCCTGTCTTGAAAAAACAAACAAAAAAACCAACCAACCAACCAAACAAACAAACAAATAAAAACCCTAGATGCAACAGCTTCCATTAGCCTCCTCATTTATTAGTTTTAATTTTTTCTTTGAGAATTTCATATATCATACAATATTTTATCCTATTAACCCCTAACTCCTTCCCCCAGTTCTTCCCAGATCCACCCACCCTCTTGCTTCCCACCCACTCCCAACTTCGTGTTTTCTTTCTCTCTTTCTTTCTTTCTTTCTTTCTTTCTTTCTTTCTTTCTTTCTTTCTTTCTTTCACCTCACTAGGTCTGAAGCGAGCTGTTCATGGGTATGGGGCCATCCACTGGACTATGGCCAACCTTCCAAGTGCTGGGGTGAGGGAGTGTGCCACCATGGCCTTTGAGTCTGTTTTTTAAATGTTGGCTTGACCTATAGTCCAGAAGAGCAGCTAGTGCTCTGCCTAGCACCTGGCCGGTCTCTTGTTGGCTTTTTTCATGGAGCACATGGAGCTATTTAACTTTGAGCCTTTACTCCCTTGAGACGGGCACAAGGAGTATCTTAGCTACTTGGGACGTCCCTTGGCTTAGGCTATGCGCACACTCTCTTCAAATAATGTAACTAGCAACCGGGACCTGTATCAAGCTGTTCCCATACCTGCTTTAAACAGTGGAAATAATAAAAATAGCCCTGACAATGCCCCATGTTTATGGAACTAGGGCCAGTGGTCCTAGCTGGCTTAGACTGGTTGTGAGCAGTGGTGCAAAACAACTGTGCCTTCAAGTGAATCTCTAGGGTGAATCCCCTACTTAGCTATCTCATGCCCATGAATTATTGAGCATGCATATGATTAAACTCAGATGTATTATGGGAAGGAACATGAACAAGTGAGTAATGGCCTACCCAACCCAAGCCTGTCAACCAAAGAAGAGAAACACCCATACTTCACCTCCAAATTCCTCCTCTTAAACTTAGTAAAAGGAAGCCCACCGGGTTCCTGCTTTCTTGCTGTGGATTTTAACCTATTCTATTACTCTGCTTTAAATAAGTTTTCTGTGCTACTTTGCAATCTGTGTGCTCTTGCACTTTACTTTATTCTCAAATAAGATGGCAAGAATCTGGAAATACCCAACCCAGACCCTAGCTCCTGGCAACACCCTTCTCTGTGAAGTGGATATAAGGTCGTCACGGAGATGACAGGACAGACATGCAGAGCACCTCGACACAATCAGGAAATGACTCCATGGCGGTCATGGTATTGTTTATTCTCAGCTCCATCAACTCCACTGTATGTAGGTTTGGATGCACTTTAACCTCTGTCCTCTCCATACGCTCAAGCCTAGAGCCTAGGCTAGGCAGCAAGGACTACAGAAGGTAACACCCTAAAAGTGTGAACTAGGAGCTAGGTGCAGTTATAGCTCATAGTCATAGTCATAGTCATATATAGTCATAGTCATAGTCCAGACCTGTATTCCCAGCACTTGGGAAGTGCAATTCTAAAGGATCAGGAGGCCAAGGACAGTCCCCCCGACAAACTGAGCTGAGGCTATCCTTGGCTACACGGGACTCTGTCTCAAACACACACACACACAGAGAACCCAAAACACAACAAAATTTCATACCCAGAAAGCGCAGAGAAATGGAAAGAGAGTCAGGTGCTTCTCCAGTGACCCAGTCCCCAAGGATGGGTGTGGGCGTGGAGCAAAGGCTGGGAGCAAGAGTTCAGTGTGACAGCCAAGCCCCCTGTGCAGAGTCACCTGAAGCAGCAGGGTGGGACAGAACCCAAGGGGATTCCAGGAGCCAGAGCTGCACAGCCACGAGAAACTGGCTTGTTTTCCTCTCCTTAGAAGGGTGTGTGTGTGTGTGTGTGTGTGTGTGTGTGTGTGTGTGTGTGTAACAAGTGACTTACACGACCTGGTCAGAGAGTGTTGGCCTTTGGTGTCCCTGTGGGGGGCAGCTCTTAGCCCACTCCATGCTGCTCCTGAGTCCTTCAGGGGTTGACATGAGGGACCAAATGAGGCATGCTAGGGGTCTCCATTCAGGTCTCATATGGGGTGCTTCATGGGGGCTGTGGACATGAGGCCACACCCATGTCCTAGAGGGCCCAAACCAGGCTAGGACAGAGTTAGAACTTGTCTTTGTTAGGGTTTGTATTGCTGTGAAGGGACACCACGACCATGGCAACTCTCTTTTGGTTTGTTAGTTTATTTTTGTTTCTACTTTTTCAAGAAAAGGTTTCTCTGTGCAGCCCTGGTTGCCCTGGAACTTGCCTTGTAGACCAGGCTGGCCGCCAACTTGGAGATCTGCCTGCCTCTGCCTCCAGGTGCTGGGTGAAAGATGCTTGCCACAGAGGAGCAGTGGTGGTTGTGCATGCCTTTAATCCCAGCACAGAGGCAGATCCCAGAGGCAGGCGGATGTCTGTGAGTGCAAGGCCAGCCTGGTCTTCAAGAGCTGGTTCCAGGACAGGCTCCAAAGCTACACAGAGAAACCCTGTCTCAAAAAACAAAACAAAACAAAAAAATGTCCACCACCACTTCCTGGTGGACCATGGTAACTCTTAATAAGGAAAACGTTTAATTGGGGTTGGCTTATAGGTTCAGAGGTCTCTTCCACTATCGTCATGGCGGGAAGCATGGTGTCGTGCTGACAGACATGGTGTTGGGAGAAAGTGACACTGGGCCCGGCCCCCAGTGACACACTCCCTCCAACAAGGCCACATCCCCTAATAGTGCCACTTCCTGTGAGCCTGTAGGGGCCATTTTCACAAACCACACAGAACGTTATATGGGGACTCTCCCTCCTCCTCCTCTTCTTTTTGCAGGGCTAGGGAACAAATGCTCTTCCTTCTGCTCGTCAAACAAGCTCTCTCTACCATTGACCCGTAGCCCAGCCTTTGTGTATGTGTGTGTGTGTGTGTGTGTGTGTGTTTTAAATTTGTTTGGCTTTTTTTTTAAAAAAAAAAAAAAACAAGGTCTTGCTTTGCAGCTCAAGATGGCTTGAAATTAATGGTTCTCCTTCCTGTACCTCCTAAGTGCCAGCAGTACAAACATGTACCCCGGTACCTGGTACCCCTATTAGTATTTTGAGGCTGGGTTTGCAGTCCAACTATACATTCAAATTCCAGCTCCATCAATTAGCAGTAGGGTGACCTGCCGCAAGTTCCTTAAGCTTCCTTGGTCTCAATTGTCCTACCTATAAAGTGGAGCTAATGAGAACTTGTCTTATATGCATGCTATGGCCAGAATGGCCACCCACCCTGCTTGTCACTTTTTAAAAATAAAAGATTTATTTTTATTTATTTATACGTTTGCATGTGTTTGTATGTGTGGGGATAAGCTCATGGATGCAGGTGCCTGAGGAGGCCAGCAGAGGGCATCAGACCTCCTGGTGTTGAAGTTATAGGCGATTTTAAGGACCCTAATGTGGGTCCTCTAGAAGAGCAATCACTGCTCTTAACCATGGAGCTATCTCTGGAGCCCCAGACAAGGTTTTTATTAAAATGGTAGTTATTTAATGCATGAAATCATAAAAGAATACATTTGAAATTTTGTTTCTTTTTCTTTTATAAGACATAGCCATGATGAAGAAGGTCTCTATAACAACAAATGACAATTCTGAACACATGACATTCAAAGGCCAGAAGCACACTTCTAGGGCCACCCATTCAAGATCAAAGTTCCAGCTATTTCTATATAACAAAGAGTGCCAAGTTTGCTGGGGCGGATCACCAGCCCTCATAATGCCTCTCACAAATGTGTGGAAAACTGAGGGTGATTAAGGGCTTGGGTAACAAAGAGAGCGTCTACTCCAAATAGTGACATTGCTCAAACAGCTCTCCCCTGGCCTGACAAGGGAATCTGAACCTTTCTGGGCTCACTTTGGCACCAACAAAGTGTATCCAAGCAGAGTTAGCCCTTCCCCCTTCCACAGAAGGCACCGAATAACTCGGTTGCCAAGAACAGGACAACAGAGAATTCAGTGGAGGCAGCAGAGGCAGGACCTCACCTCTCTTGCAGTCTGGGGGCTGCTAGTTTTTCTGTTTCACCCCCTCTTCTCCTCACCAAGACCATTCTCGCTAGACAGCAGCTCTTACAACCACTGATGTGTTTTGACTTCCGTATCCTCTGCTCCTGTCTCCTGTCTTTTTTTTTTTTTTTTTGATTGTTGTTGTTCCATTTTGTCTCGTAAGCTCCTCCCATGGCACCCAGAGTGCTGTGACCACAGGTCCATCCTACTACATCTGATTTCTCTTTTCTTCTCCTGTCAGCAAAACCTCCTCACCTAAGCTGAAAGTGCTTCACTGACTATATAATAAGCAGTTCAAAGGAGCTGGATGCTGGGGAAGGAAGGAAGGACCCACAGCCTCTCCTTCCTCTCCCTCCAGCTCCCTAGCTCTCACAAAGCTTCAGATTCTTGGGAAGACTATGTCGACGCTCCTGGGCTAAATGTCCTAAGGCAGAGCAAGGCAGGCACCGGGGTCCCTATGAATCTAAAATGATGGGAAGCAAGGCTCTTCTGGGGGTCCTTGGCATAGATGCTGGCCAGAGTATCCAGATGAAGGGCAATACTAGGACAGGCTGCCTCCAAGTAGGAACCCTAGCCCACCCTGCGCAGGTTCAGTTGAACTCCTGAGGGTTGCCACCTGTTGATCTTCATCACCATAGCACAGTCAGCACATCATTCGGCAGCCTGCTCCCGGCTAAGGTGCTGAATCACGGGGATGCTGAATTCAGAGGAGATGGCATTTTCAAGGCTGTAGATAATAAAGGCCTGTCCTGCACTAGGATTCTCTTTGAGAAAAATCGAGCTGTCGGCCACCTGCTTCTGTGGCCCCCGTGGATCCAGGCTGACTAGTTTATTTTCCACTCAGATGTTCTTTCCCAGAGTATAGTTATCTTAAACCCGGCAACTAAACAGTAGTGCATGGAACTGTTGCCGGAGCAACATGACAAAGGGCTTCACCCTTTCCTGCTGTATATGTAATTTGTCAGTCAGCTGGTGGGAAGGGAAGGGGAGGGGAGGGGAGGAGAGGGGAGGGAAGGAGAGGGGAGGAGAGGGGAGGGGAGGGAAGGGGAGGAGAACAGAGGGGAGAGGAAGGGGATAGAAGCGGAGGGGAGAGGGAGGGGAGGGAAGGGGAAGGGAGAGAAGAGGAGGGGAACAGAGGGGAGGGGAAGGGGATAGAAGGGGATAGAGGGGAGGAGAGAGGGAGGGGAAGGGAGAGGAGGGAGGGGAAGGGAGAGAAGGGAAGGGCTGTCACTTTGGGCTTGGCAAAGTGAACTGAGATTTTCTTCTAGTTAAAGCAAGAGAAAAGTCATGGCCTGTGTGATTAAAAATTCAGAAACAGGGCTACGCTCAGTAGGTTTAGGGGTTTGCTGCCAAGCCTGAGGACCTGAGTTCAATCCCCGGAAAACATGAAGATGTAAAGAAGAGAACTAACTTTTGTGAGTGGTCCTCTGACTCTGACATGCTCACAATGGCAAACTCATGCCCACACACAGACACCAAGGAAACAATAAACATAATAAAAATTTAAGAAATATCCAGAAACATCTAGCTAGGAACACCAAGGAAGAAAAACTCCTTTTCTATTCTCTCTGCAGAAAGATAAAGGACTCACTAAAGTTATAAAATGGTTGCATCTGCCAGGCAGTGGTGGTGCACGCCTTTAATCCCAGCACTCAGGAGGCAGAAGCAGTCCAATCTCTGTGAGTCAGAGGCCAGCCTGGTCTACAAAGCGAGTTCCAGGACAGGCCCCAAAGCTACAAAGAAACCCTGTCTCGAAAAAACAAAACAAACCCCCCCACAAAAACAAAAATTAAAAAAAAGGGTTGCATCTAAGTTTTTTACAGACCTGGAGCTTCAAGTAAGCTAAGGGGAAGAACTAATACAAATGGCAAGAGACAAAAGAAAGCAGCCAGAACATTCGAGAACATTTAGACACACATTATAGTGGGACTTCTTAGCATGTCGACTTTTCTCATAAATCATAACATGTCATGGTAGCATCTGCCTGTACTGTAACCAACAACATAGCACAAGCGACCCACACAGACCAAGTTCAATCACTGGAGATTTTGGTAGAAATGCCAAAGCCCACAAAAGCCAGCCAGCTGGGAAAGGGTAGACCTAAATCCACAGCCCGTTTCTGGCTTCCCCACTTCTCTGGGGCTTTCTGTGCACTCTGCTCTCTAAAGGACATACAACTGAGCTCAGCTTCCAAATGGTGCTCCACACAATGCTGAGTCATACGGGCCCTGGGCACCTACCTCCACTCTCCACAGAATTACCCAGATTCAGTCCTGCCCTTTCTATTTCTTGGGCCTTCATTGAAAATTATTTGTGAGGACAATTTAATAGAGAAAACATTAGAGGTTATCACTCTAAAGAGCATGACTGTATTTTTTTGAGAAGTGGGTTTCATTATGTAACCTTGGCTGGTCTTGAACTCACAGAGCTCTATCTGCCTTTGCCTCCCAGTGCTAGAATTAAAGATGTGTACCACCATACCCAGTCCACAAATTTTATTTTATCCTTGAGATTTATTATATCCTATTTAATTACGTGCATATATGTGTGGTTCTGTGCACATGAGGGCAGGTGCCTGAGGAATCCAGAGATGTTGGATCTCCCTAGAGCTGGAGGTACAGGTGGTTGTGGGCAGCCCAAGATGGGCGCGGAGAATCAAACACAGGTTCTCTCTGTAAGAGCACTGTGTCATTTTTCTAGCCCCAGGAAGTTCTAGTTTTACACAGTATTTTCTTAAACCCTTATGTAAATAGTGTATTTACTGAACTTAAAAACACAATGCCTCTTTGTTCACACAAAGAGACACACTAAAACACAAGAGGTAGTCTGTGCTTAGGGCAGCTGTTCTTAACCTGTGGGTGAGACCCCCTTTCGGGGGCCACATATCAGAGATCCTGTATATCGGATATTTACATTACGATTCATAACAGTAGCAAAATTACAGTTATGAAGTAGCAACGAAATAACGTTGTGGTTGGGGGTCACCACAGCGTGAGGCACTGTATTAAAGGGCTGCAGCCTTAGGAAGGTTGAGAACCACTGGCTTCGAATCAGAAGTCAAGGGATAGCGAAACTGCCCAACCCAGAGGTCTAACCTATGCCACCCACCGCGCCCCTACCCCTTACTGAGTTGGTGCCGAGGATCTGCAGGTTGGGCTTCTCCGACTCCAGCAGCTTGGCCACCATCTTCAGGAAGCTTTCCACGAAGAGATTGATGCTCTGGCAGTGGCAGGCCATGAGCAGCTGGTCCAGCGCCTCCATGGCGATACACACGTACCTGAGGACAGAGGCATAATGGCTTCACTTGGTCTCGCTCTCTCCCACCGCCACACCTGGCTAGGGCTGTATCCGAGGAAGAAGATGCCTCCCTCCGTGGGCTGCCAGTGTCTGCGCTGTGTTTCTAACAAGTGTTCACTCCAGACCAGAACTGAGAACGAGGGTGACACAGAGCTGCGAGGGGGGCTTACAAACGTTAAGGTGCCGGGTGCAGGTGGCGCACGCCTTTGAACCCAGTACTGAGGAGGCAGAGGCAGGCGCGTCTCTGTGAGTTTGAGACCAGCCTGGTCTACAGAGTGAGTTCCAGGACAGCCAAGACTACACAGAGAAACCCTGTTTCGGAACAAAAAAAAAAAAAAAAAAAAGAAAAAAGTTAAGGTTCCCCAGTCAAGCCCATGTGCTACAACGAAGAATGAGCCCCAAGGATCAGCTCTTCCTCACCAGGTCCATCTTGGAACATGAGGTGGATATTTATAAACTCTTAATTATCTTTGGTCTTAAAAAAAGTTTGGGTCTATTAGGAGGGATTACCTGACCTCATCAGACCCTAACAGTACTTCTGTGGCAGTCATCCAATTGCAGAAACTGTGCAGTAAACCACCTGAGCCACGGCAACTTTGTACATCCACACAGAGTAGCGGAATCCACGGTGTCTTCTAAACTTGTTTTTAACATTTTTTTTTTCTGAGACAGGGTTTCTCTGTAGCTTTGGAGACAATTTTTATTTTTAAAGATTTATTTATTTTATGCGTATGTGTGTTTTGCCTGCATGCATGTCTGTGTACCATGTGTGTGCCTGGTGCCTGTAGAGGCTAGAAGAAGGCGTTGGATCCCTTGGAACCGCAATTACAAATGATTGCGAACGGCTCTGTGGGTGCTGGAGATCAAACCCCGGTCCTCTGGAAGAGGGTCCAGTGCTCTTAGCTACTGAACCATTTCTCCAGACCCTAAATCTGGTTTTAAAAACAGCTACTGGACACCGATGCTTAAACATCCTTGCACTAACTTCTGCACAAAATGGTCATTAAAAAAAGCCTCTGTACTTCAAAATTTTTTTTTCTACTTTTATAAAATTTATGTCTTTAATCTCTATGAGCTAAGCCAGATATTAAATCCTTTAATATTACTAAATTCAATTATTAAGGATTATGGAAGTTGTCTCTGGGCATTCTAAAAGGTGGATCATGTCATCCTTTTATCTATAAAGTCCTTATTTTTTTTCTTGAGGGGCCAGGGTGGAACCCAGGCTTTGCACATCCTTGTTAAACACACAATCCCTGAGCGACAGCCCCAGCTCTCGGTGGTGGCTTTGAAACACAAAGGCAGCATTGGCTCTCAGAACTCATTTGGTGAGTGGGAGCCCTGGGTTGGCATCCCTCCTACCCAGGCCAGACATGCCTCATGCGCCATAACCTTGACCTCCATAGACTGGCATAGTCATAGACAAGATGCCTCCTGCAGGCCTGGCATTTCAGAGACTTCAAGTCACCCAAGATGGAAAAGAAAACTGGCTGGGACCCCTGCCAGATGGGACAGGCCAGAGAGGGCAGGCCCAAGGGAGAGGGGAAAGGCTTCCCTGGAGGGACACGTGGACACGGTCAAGTCACCAACCACGGTTAGAAAATATCGATAGGCAAAGAGAAACTCGCCCTTTTTTATGGGTCATACCAGCACTTTTCTACTGACATTTTATTTTTCCTGGAGTTTAAATAAAATTAATAAAGGAAGGGGTGGGATGCGTGGCAAGAGAAGAAACTAGAAGGCCTCCCAAGTCCTAGAACATTATTGTTCTTTCAGGGTGTGTGTGTATGTGGCGGGGGGGGCTAGAATAACCTGATAAGAAAAAATAAATAAATAAAAAGAAAACCTCTTCTTTCTCAGAAAAAAAAAAACAAACAAACTTGGCATTGACCAATACTAGAGATTCTGGTATAAAGTGAAACTCACGGTAGAATTGAGATAGAAATGAAAAGAAACAAAGACATATAGGCTCCGTTCCCTGAACATGCTGCCCTTGATGCTCCATTTCTTTTCTCTCTCTTTTTTTTTAAAAAGATCTGTTTATTTATTATTTATACAGTACAGTGTTCTGCCTACATGTGTGCCTATACACCAGAAGGGGGCACCAGATCTCATTACAGATGGTTGTGAGCCACCATGTGGTTGCTGGGAATTGAACTCAGAACCTCTGAAAGAGCAACCAGTGCTCTTAACCTCTGAGCCATCTCTCCAGCCCCCAGTGCTCCATTTCTGACCCCAGTGCTAAGAACAGCACAGTTTTAACTATGAACTTGAATTTGGACCTCCTAGTGATGACCTCAGTGTTTGTCCTATTTTACCGCCACCTTCGCCCATGTGCCCTGCCTGTCAGACCTATGCTCTCAGGACAGAGGATGGGACTTTTGGGGGGTACTGTCCACCAACAGGATTCCCATGACAAGTTACCATCATCAGAAAGCTGATGCTCTTTAACGTTTGTGAGTCTAGACTGGCCTATGTGGGTACTTGGAGCAAAATGGGCTAGGGTGGAGCCGGGCTGTGGGGAAGGTGTAGGCTGCAGCAGCAAACGTCAGCGCCAAGTATACCACGTGGGCTCCCCACATGCATGATGAAGAGGACAGGACACAAGTGACCTGGAACAGACTAGAAATCTCAGGCAGCAGGGGAGGACGCCAGGCAGGTAACAATGGGAAGAACCCAGGCTCAGGGACCAACAGAGGAGGTGAATGACAACCACAGAGAAAAATAGCTAGGGTGCCTGGTGCCTACAAGCCAGGTGAGAAGTCTCTCTGTGAGTTCTGAGGGAGGCTGGTTCTGCTTGGACACCTTGTTCCAGGTCAGAAGTAGCCAGGGAACTCAGGGAAAGGTCTGTAGTGCAAGGGGAAGTGTGGGCAAAGGAGGCTGGGAGCTCCACCCAGTTGGATAGACGAGATGGACCTGGAGTCAGGGACCCTTATTCTGGGCATTCTGTGTATATTTAGTCAGCCCATCCCTCAATTGAACTTTCTGAGTTTTTTGTTTGTTTCTGAGACACAGTTTCTTTGTAGCTTTGAAGCCTGTCCTGTAACTTGCTCTGTAGACCAGGCTAGCTTAGAACTCACAGAGATCCGCCTGTCTCTGCCTCCTGAGTGCTGGGATTAAAGGCATGCACCACCACAGCCCAGCACCTTCTGAGTCCTTTAGAAGACCGGGAGCAGGGAGATAGTTTGGGCCCCAACTGAGGAAGAGCGGGCCCAGCCTCTCCACCTAGCAGAGTCTGCAGTGCTAACTTCAGGGTTAGCCCACTCTCCCACCAGCTTCAGATCCTTTTAGAAAACAATGCTGGGCCGGGGTCCTCAGGCTGCAGCTCTACCTCCTGGTCTCCATGCTCAGTGCTCAGTGCTCAGCGTTGGGTTGGGGCAGAACTCCAGACACTGTCTAGTATAACATGCTGCACACTGTGGTCCATGCTGGTGCCCTTGGAGGATGTGTCTCACTCAGCACTGTCCTTCCCTCCCCTGTCCCCCTGTTTCTAGGGACACTGAGCTGATCTGGAAGGAGAATGAGCGGAAGGAGAGAAGCATAAGAAACGCTGGCCTTTTGTTCCTCCACCCTTTATACCAAACACCTTGAAGTTCCGCCATCTTCTCCGTGCTCACAGCTGACATCCTTCTGGGGCCAGACACTCATGGATCAAGACCCTGTATCCAATGACAGGGTGACAGTGCAGGAAGGCAGTGGCCACGAGCAGGTGGTTCTGAGGCTCACGGGGACCCACATCCAAGGTTCACATTGATAGGACCAAACCATAAACAGACACCCTTAGTATGCTAGGAAGACACACATCCTCTCCCTGTCTGATGTGAAAATGTTGCTCTTCCAAGGCCTCCACCCAGGACAAGGATGAGACCAGGGGCTTGGGCAGGGAGCTACAGGAGGGCCAGGAGAAAGGATTCTAACAGACATTTTCCCAAATGTTTATGATCAAAGTTCTCCTTCAGGCTTTAAATACCTAGATGCCGCAAGGCTATTTTTAACAGGATGATGCCAATTTTGAATTGTCATTCCGCGAGCAGAGGAAGGATTCGAAGAGGCTCTGTCAGCTATGGACATTTTTAATCACAAGAAACATCACTGCAGAGAGCCCAATTCTGCAGGGCAGAATGGGTGTTAAATGTTTAATGCTATTACTGGCACATTAGCTTTTGGTTCAGTCTAGGATAAAGCCATTTCCACTTGCTTGAATGTGCCGTCCAGTACGTCAGGGCTCTTTATATAATCAGTATGCAAAGCACGCACGCTCCTCCCCTTATTGAGTGGCAACCTACTTTTATCATAGAGAGAATGATCACGGAAACATTAGTTCACATTTTGTTTTCATAGAAAGGGTAGACTGGTTTAATTTGCCAGCAGAGTGGGAAGTAGAAAAAGACAAGGTCTCCTGAGTAAATTGGGAGCATGGGGACCTTGGGAGAAGATTGAAGGGAGGGGAGCAGAGAAAAATGTAGAGCTCAATAAAAATTAACTAAAAAATTTAAAAAAAAAATTTGCCAGAGCTAGGGTACAGCACATCCTTAGTACACACAAAACCTTTTTCTAAGCCCAACATTTACCAATGATCCTTGGTTTTTCAACCTTAGGACTGTTCAACCAGTATATCTGGTACTGGTTATATAATAGGTGTGGTGGGCTTGGCTGGGAGGTGGAAGACTCAAGAAGTTGAGGAGCCTGGAGTTGATTTTTTGTTTGTTTGTTTGTTTGTTTGTTTTTCAAGACAGGTAGTCCTGGTTGTCCTGGAACTCATTCTGTAGACCAGGCTGACCTCCAACTCACAGAGGTTCACCAGATTCTGCTTCCCGAATGTGGGGATTCAAGGTGTGAGCCCAGCTCTGGAGTTGATTCTAAAGACTGAAGATCTTAGTCTTTGAGTTGAAGAGCATGTCTAACTCTTAAATATATACCATATAATTATGATAATTAATATCTTAATTTGGGAAGACCAAACAGGAAGACTGAGAGAGGGAGACAAATCCCCTACTGTAATTTGAGCCAACAGATTCAAAGCCTGAACCAAGAAAAAGGCAGGAGTGGGCCGAGGATGTAGTTCCATTGGTCTAGCATGTATGAAGCCCCGGGTTTGTCTCCAGAACCACAATAACCCGGTATGGTGGAGCATGCCTATGACCCCAGCACTGGAGAGGTGAAGGCAGGAGGGTTAGAAGTTCAAGCTCCTCCTTAGCTGTACTGAGTTCAAAGCCAGCCTTGGATACACGAGACTCTGTCTCCCTTCATCATCACCATCATTGCTCGCCCTCCCCCCCAATAAGAAAAAACAAAATAACGTTAGGATCAGAGGGAAGTGGAGAATGGAGAGAAAGACTCAGGCAGAGTCGGATCCACAGGGTCAGGAACCATGGCTACCCATCATGTACCCAACCCTCTGCCCCATGAGTAACACTACTGAGGCTTCTTGGGGTGGGCTGTTTGGCTGTGAATTGTGTCATGAGGGCAGGACAGTACAAGTACAATCGCGCTGTAGTCCAGTCCTACACTGTGACAGTAGCACATGCCCAGTAGTCGATGTTTAGGGAACAGAGAAAACACAATGAAACAAACGAAGTCCTCGAGCTGTACCCCTCCCAGGGTGAACGCTCTGGATGCACTAGACTTGACTTTTTAGCCACTGAGGTTTGTTGACATTTTTTTTAACTTGACCCTAAAAACTATGTATGTGGCCATTATAGTCTAAGTTTTCTTATTTTTAAATCATTAGATAGTTACCTTTATAACAACTATTTTTATTATCTAGATAGCATCTTACCAGATGACACGAACCATAACTTACTGACGTTTTCTTTTGCCAGACACTTAGGCCATTTCTAGGGTTTTGTTGTTCTAAGAGGCACTATGGCCTGGGCGTGGTGCCCCACGTTTGTATTCCAGGGCTATGAAGAGGAGGCCAGAGGTCATCCTCAGCCACGCGGCCAGGTTGAAGCAGCCTGGGCAACCTGAGATTCTGTTGGTTGGGTTTTGGTTTTTTGAAGTGGACAGAAACCGCCGCAAAAAGCATCTTCTTGTACAAGGCAGAGGCACTGAGATGGTTTCCTTGGGAAGCAATGGGCAGGAAAGGACACATATTTCATGACCTAGAAAATTTCAACCAATTTGTTCTTTCCAGGAAGGTGTAAAAATGCCTTTTTCCCCTCCATCTCTCAGTTAATACTGAAACATTTACTTTTAGAAAAATGTGATAGGATGACCCAGTAGTTTGGGTGTGGACTGTGAGTCTGAACATTATCAGATGACGCTGGCTTTCTGAGTGGTCCCTTTGCAGTCTTATCTTTCCCCCGGCCATCCCTCTCCTGACTCCCCAGGACTATTTGTTCGATGGTACTAACATGAGACCTGAATCCTTTGTCTTATTTGTTGTTAATATATATCTTTTGTGTTCAGTTTTAAAAATCTGAAGGTTTCAGCCGAGCAGTGGTGGTGCACCCCTTTGATCCCAGCACTCAGGAGGCAGAGGCAGGCAGATCTCTGTGAGTTCAAGGCCAGCCTGGTCTACAAAGCAAGTTCCAGGACAGGGCTACACAGAAAAACTCTGTCTTGATAAACTAAAAGCAAAACAAAAAAAAATCAGTATCAAGATTTAAACAGCTAAATGTATTGATCACTTTAAGATCTCTTCTCTCTTTTAAACACACAAAGTCCTTTCCTCTCAGACAGTAATAAATATTTCACTAAAGTATATTTTTGTCTTGTTTGAGATGCATCTCACACTTCCGAGGCTAGTCTTGCTCTGGTGCTGGGGATGGCCTTGAACTTTGTATCCTCCCGCCTCCTGGGCGCTAGGATCACAGGAGTGCTCCCCTGGGACTGGTTTATGCGACACTAGAGATTGAAGCCAAGGCTTCTAGTCTGCCAGACACTCGAGCAGCTAAGCTATATTACAGTCCTTTCTCTACGGTGTGCTTTTTAGTGAACAAACCACCCCAACCTTTCTTCTCAGCACAAAGTTGGCTCCACCTCACTTTCTCAGACTGTGAGGGGAACTGGGCTGGGGAGAATAAACACATTGCAAAGCAGACTGACTGTGTAAGTTCTATGGGGACACACAATGACTCGCTGGATGCCACGAGGCTACTCCTCTAGAGCCACCAAGCCCTCTTCCCAAAAGTCCAGGTTCATCCAAGGCCACCTGCCTGGGGGAACACGTAAACCCACCCTCCTTGTTTCCGGTTTTGTCTTTCTCAGTCTATCCAATAACTTGCCCCATAGCTTTTTTTCTTGAAATATTATCACACTATCTTACCCTAAAATTATAAAAATATAATGCAATTTCTGAAAATCCATCTTGTTCTCCCTCACCACGTGCCTTACCCATAGCGATGGCGCCCCACATCTCGGATGAGCCTCTCGGAGAGGTAGGCACCGATGCGATCCAGCTTCTCTGGAGCTGAGAGGGCATAGAAGGTCAGCTTCTCCATGTTGGTTTTCACCAGACCATCCTGTAGAAGACAGACAGCTCGACATCACCACGGCCCCGGTATGGTGGGAAGGCGCAAGTCTGGAGCAAATCAGTTCAACTAAGCTGACGTTTACAGGGCGTCTATTATACAGGTGCTGGGCAACAGGATCACTGAAAGGAAGAAAATGGCCCTTCCGTCCTCCAAGTGGGGCTGGGGAAAACCACCTAGCATAGAGCTTGCTGTGTGAACGAGGGTCTGGGTTCAGGTTCCCCGGAACCATAGAAAAGCTGCACACAGTCCTTGTAGACTAAAAGCTTCCTAAGAGCTGGGTGGGTATGGGAACATGGAACTCCCTGAGGTTCTCTGGCCCCAATTTAACCACAACAGCAAGCTCTAGATTCAGTGAGAGACTTGTTTCAAAAAAGCGTGGTGGAGTGTGATAAAGGTACGTGATGTCAATCTCTGGCCTCCACATATGCATACACAGACAAGTGTACTGCACACATATGCACACACACATGTACCGCATACACACAAATATCGAAAGAAGGTGGTCTATGTGCCTATGCATTAATGTGTATATGTGTGGGTGCAGGGACACAGTGGTGTGGGTGAAGGACAGGGCATTATTAAAAGTAACTCAGAATTGAGATGTCACCACCAAGACATAAAGAAGGCAATTCTGCAGCTCCTCGGGAATTCTCCAGAGGATAATGGAAATGGGAACCTCCGGCTGCCCATCTGGAGGAGGCCAGGAATTCTCAAATATCAAGGCAAATGCATCAACTCTTGACATCCTCAGACCACAATGCATAACACAGTGTGACACACAGAGTGACAGCTTGGAAGCCACACAGCTAGGTCTCCAGTGCAATGCACAGCCAGACACCTGACAGATGCCAGCGGGAGCCGGGGAGAGACACGGGTTCTCAAGCCAAACGCTAGACAGGGGCACGTCTTCACTAAACAACGGGAAAACATTTCCATCAGGAGAGTGAGCAACTAAGACAGGAGTGAGAAAGACGTGTCAACCATACAGCAACAGCCAGACACCGACACATCCCTAGCAGCCTTCTGCACAGCCAGTCTTTAAAAGAGTCAGATGTCCTTGTTCTCCATGGACAAAGGCACTCACCACTCCTAGGCTGGGGACCAGGAGGAGCCACTGCCTAAAGGCCTTCCCCAGTCAACAGTCCATCCAGCCCTTCCTGTGACCCACCTCAGGATCTTCAGGGAAGATATTGTCCACCAGCCTCTTGTACCTGGGACGAAGGGCACCACAGCAGCCGCACACACCTGGGGTGGGGAAACGAAACAAAACCAAACCTAGGAATGAAGTCTTCTCGTAGGCTGCAGAGACTGGGAACCCAGGATCTCTGAGGAAAGAAACTGGGGCTGAAGGGCCAAGGGCCTTGTTCTTCCCAGAGTGGAGGTCTCCCATTGATTCCCACATGCCAAGACACTGGTCTTTTGTTTGTGTCTTCAGTTTAGGGACTGGGCAGAGTGGGGTGTTTAGGGTAGGAAACCAGAGCTACAAAGAACACTTGGAGGGTGAGACCGCATGAGTGGGTGGGAACACATGTGAAAGTCGGGTGCTGCCATGCCACTACCCTACCATTTACACACACGCACACATACACACACACACACACACGCACACACACACGCACACACACACACACCATGAATTTCTGGGATCAGACTATAAAATCTACCCCTGCAGCTCATGAGTTTCGAGTGTCCTGGGAAGATGAAGGCCACGTGGAGGGGTGGGTGACTGCTCCTCCTGCCCTCACTGGCTCCCAACTCCCTATTTCCTGAGCCTCATTCTCCTCCAGGGTCTGTTCCTGTACCAGTCCCTCTGCAGAATAGTCACGATGCGATGATAAATAGACAGTATCATTAACTACGAACAGACAGGAATTTCTAAGGCTTTTGTCTGTGGTATTTGAAAGTGCACAGAAGAGCTGGTCTAGTTCTCCATGCCAGCCTTTCCCTGGCCCCCTGGCCAAATGGAAAAACTAGGAACAATGTGGCAGGGCTTTCCAAAGTGAAGTTTATTCCACCGAGAAGCCCCAAATGGCCCTGTTCAGGATCTCCCACGCTGGGAAAGCAAATGGTATCCAGAAATCAACAATAAAACAACTAAATGGATCAAGGAAATGGAAACATCTAGAAACTGTCCTCTTTAGCTTTCTTCCAGCCAGGACCATCCTCTGCCGCGTCCCAGATCCTTTGTGCCGAGAGTTGGGGGTAGGTAGAAAGTGGAGAGGTAGAGGTAGCATAGAGGAGCCCACAGAGGCTTGGCAAAGTCCATCCTGTGAAGAAAATTAATGCCCCTTCCACCTGCCAATTATAGATGAGCTGTGCTTGTACACGCCTTCTACTTGAAATGCAGATGTTTGCTGGGAAGATTAGAGGTCACCGAGAGAAGAATGAATTGCTGTAGTGGGAATTCCTCTGCCACACAAAGCACTCCGCATGGGCCATTGGGAGAAGCAGTGAGGGAGCTCTGGCTGCCAAGTCTGGTTGGCATCCAGCCAGGAGGAGGAGACAGCCACAGTTTGGGCTTCAGACTTCACGATTTTGGTTCGTGGAGATGGATGTGAACTTGAAGAAGTATAAGGCAGTCAGGGGCAGGGTGGCAGGGAACTGGTATGTGAGTCCCACCCATGTCTCACAAGGAAGCCTTGTGACCCTCAACCTCCACTACCCCAGACTCTTCTAGCCAAACTTTTCCTGGATTTGCCTTGGTTTCTCCTCCTTGCTCTTTCCTAGGTGAAAGCATTTAGGGCCATGTCCTGTTGGCACCCAGGATTATTTATGACGGGACATCTCCTATGGGGATACATTTCCTCTCAGGGTCTCAAAGCCCAGGGGTTAAGCCTGTAGGCTACATTGCCATCTGTCTGGCCCAGCTTTCTGGACACTTTCTCCAAGTGCCCAGCTTATAACGTATGGCAACTTGTTAAATCTCTAGAACAACTCCATAGGATGAATGTGCATTATATTTATCCCTGCTTTACAAATAAGTAAACCGAGGCATGAAGAGGTTAAATGACCTGTCTGGAGCTGCACAGTGGTAATACACGGCCAACCAGGATTTAGTCTTCCAAAATCTAACTTCAGAGACCAAACACATAACCACTGTACCAGGGCTTAGTGGGTTGCACAGTTAGCAAGCTAGGAAACCTCAAAGCCCTAGTGCAAAGGTAGGATGTGAAGAAATAGGGTCGAGGACAGGAGAGTGCACATGAGCGTGGGATGCCCGAGATGCCACATTCCCACCCATGGCTAGGCAATACTGATGCTTCAGTTACTGGTGTCTCTTGAAGTCTGCAAAGCGGCACAGCATGGTGGCTAAGTAATTTAGGCTCAAGAGTCAGGGAGGCCTGGGTTGAAACCCCAGTTCTTCTGGTTACTTACTGTATGACCTTGAGTAAGTAATTCAACCCAGATCCACAATTCCTCATAGATATATGGTAATGTTCCCACTTAGGGGACCTACGAGACATTGGATCTTTTTTTCAACATCCTAGAAGAAAAGACAAGACACAAAGACCAGGCAGGACCAGGCCGAGGACGGCTGTGCACAGCCTAACCAGCTTTGAGACATCTGAGTAGCAGGAGACCCACTCTGATGTGAGGCACAGGATGGCACAGGCAGGGATGTCTGCCAGGAAGCTGTGTGGATGGGCCACCCAAGACTGCGGACAAAGGTCAGACAGAGCTGAGTGACTTATCAAGACAGGACAAGGGAGGGCAGAGCCCAGCAAGATGTGAGTACCTCCTAGAAGGAAGAGGGTAAAGTAAGAATGTGGGGTTCCCATGTACAAACAAGAAACCCAGAGCACAGGCTAGGACTGAAGTCCGGGGGTCATCTGCCTGTGTGGAGTCATTGAAGCTGCACAGTGACACACTGGGACACCACAGGAGATGGGCGGGTGGGAAGGGAGAAAAGATGCACAGAGACTGTGATCTCCACCAGTCTTCCATAAAGCATGTCACCTTCATTCCCTTGTTATGTCTCTGCCTCTTTCTTAGGGTCCTCCAAACCCAGACGCCGGAGCCTTCGGGCGGCTAACACTGGTCTCCGATCGATCTTATGAACAGCTCCTGAACACTAAATTCCTATCTTGGAGATCTAATTAACCAATTCACAAGCTGCTGGTGTCTGAGAAGCAGTCTTTTAAAACGTACATGTTTTTGGTTTTGTTTTGTTTTAAAGCCCGACAGGCAAAGGGAATAATACCTCACTGTAGACCCTCCTAAACATTTGGGTGTCGGGGTGTTTATGAGAAAACTGGCTCATAGGCGTCTGAAACCTGTAGGGTGCTGGAGTTTTGTTTGCCTTTCAACCTTTACAGGGTTTAAAATAAGGTAGAGATGTGAAATAAACACCCTGGTTTAAGAGGGAGGAAAAGCTCAGAAACAAAACAGTAGTTTTGTCAGTTACAATAAGTAGTTCACCAAGCCGGGCGGTGGTGGCACAGCACGTAATTCCTGCACTCGGGAGGCAGAGGCAGGCAGATCTCTGTGAGTTCGAGGCCAGCCTGGCCTACAGAGCAAGTTCCAGAGCAGGCACCAAAACTACAGAGAAACCCTGTCTAGGGAAAAAAAAAGTTCATCCCACAGTAAGTATAAAGCTGTGTCCTAGCAGAGGGGTCGGCAGGACACTCAGCCCGGGGCTGGACTGCTCTGGCTTCTTATCTGCTTGCTTTTAGAGACTGAACAATCATAATCACATAGATAGAGATTTTTTTTTTCCTGGAAACTCAGCCATAGGACAGTAGGTGCTATATAGCATCTGCACTTCCTGGGCAACCTGGAGGTAAGGTGAGGGTGGGGGTGGTTCGGAGCCAAAGCAGGTAAGGGAGGTGCTGGGCAACCCACAAGCCTCTCCCTGAGTGTCCTACCCAACTCACAACCAAACAAAGCAATACGACACAACTGAAAACAGCTCATTGGAGAGAGAATTCAATAGGCTTGTCTAGTGTTTCTTTAATCTTGCTCCTGAGAGCACTGACTCTTGATGTTAGCACACTGAAGCGGGTGGAGACTGGCTCGAAGCCACTTGCCTATATTGTACTTTTAATTCTCGTCCATTTTATTTCAAGGAGAGAACTGTCTTCCACTGCTGTGGGAGTTCCTTCAGCTCCTTCAGCCAATCGCCGCTGAGTTACCAGCCCATTGGGGCGTGGTCTCTCCCTTAAAAAAAAGCAGCGGCTGTCCTCCACTTTCTCTTTTTGTCTTCCGGCTCCGTTTCCGGCCCCTGGACTCCTTTCCTGTTCGCACGGAGGGGCTGTTGTCTGGGACGGTAATCTATAAGTTTTTTCCCCTTTGAATAAATAACCATTATATTAATCATAATTCCAAACTGGTGTGGGATTGTCTGTGACTTACGCCTTCATCTGGCGCCCCACGTTGGGCGCCATCTGTAGTGATGGGTTGTGGGCAGGCCTGCTTTTCGTCCTGCCCGGCTCCTGCACGGCTAGCTTAGTCCCAGAAATAACAACACACAAATTGTATTCATTTAAGCACTGCCTGGCCCGTTATCTCTAGAGAGTTAGTTACTGACTAACTCTCATATCTTGATATTAACCCATTTCTAATAATCTGTAGCACCACGAGGTGGTGGCTTACCGGAAAAGATTTAGCATGTCTGACCTGGTGGCTGGCTCCATGGCGTCTGCCTCATTGCCCTCTTCCCAGCATTCTGTTCTGTTTACTCCGCCTACCTAATTTTCTGTCCTATCAAAGGGCCAAGGCAGTCTCTTTATTGACCAATGAAAATAACACAATAGACAGATAACCCTCCTCCATCATTCCACCAGGGTCATCTCTCACTCTCTGGAGACTGTACCAGGCGGATGCAATCTCCAGGCACCAAAGGCAATTTTCTAAATATTCTTCTTGTCACTAAGACCTCACTTCCCTAAATTTTTTATACCTATTTTAAAGGAAGTGAAGAAAAGTGGCCTGGCTAACTTCCTGTTATATGTGTGTGTGTGTGTGTGTGTGTGTGTGTGTGTGTATGTATCAGGAAAATACACACACACAGTATCTCTGGATACTCAAAAAAATCAAATGATTAACAGACTTTAACAGACTGTCCAGTTACAAGGCTGCAGGGGTACCCAACAACTTGAAAGCTAAGTATGGTCAGACTGCCCTGGTCCCCTCTCCTCCTTCTTCCCTACGATTCATCAGCCCTGATGCACGGACTCCTCTCGGGACACTGGCATTGAAGATCCCCTCTTAGAGAATATTCTTCCCACTATTTTTTTTGGGGGGAG